CGAACGCCTCCAGAAACAGGCAGCTCACCACCTCTCTGGCAGTGTTGCTGCAGAAGCTGTAGGATGAAGCTTCCCAGGCATCCCTGAGCCTTAACAGTAGGACCAGATGTGGGACAGGTCAGCAGGCAGTGGCTCTGGGCCTGAGGCATCTGGTTTTACTGGGGAAAACACACACCTCAGAAGAAGGTCCTAAAAACTTGGTGAGTGCTGATTTCAGTCTCCAGAAAAAGCACTGTAAATGATCAATGCATGTTTTTACAAAACAGAGCCCCATTTCCCCTTTTTGCCAACAGCATATTCAACAATGCTAGGGCTGTGCTGGTGACCCCACCCGCCTTCCAAAAAGCAAGCTGCTGTCCCTGGGGACAGCAGATATAGGCTTTGATTTTCTGGGGTTAGACTCTTCAAGCCCCCAATTTTGGAAAACCTGCACAAAAATATAAGAAGAGAACAAGTCACTGAGTGGGAAATAAAATAAACCTACTATAAAAAGCCGGCTGCTGCCCTCAAGAACCTGAAAGGCAAGGTCCACGCATGCAGAGGCCCAGAGCCCCTCGTCAGGACCAGCTGCATGATGCACTGAGCCCAGTGCAAGATGGAAATGCTGCTCCCTTGTTCAAAAATTACGAAGAATTTCGAGATGGTGATAACAGAGCATTAAACTGAGCTTGGGGCCCTTCTGAGCACTGGGCCTTCCTGAGGGCGGGGCCCTGTGGCAACATAGGTCCCAAACCCGTGAAGCTGACCCTGCCTCTTGCATGTATTCACACCGCATGCTGAGGCTGGTGAGGACCACAGGCAGCTGCATTGAGGGAACACAACTCCCCTTCTTTTGCATTGATTTTTTTTTTTTTGGTGCCATCACTGACTTTTCATGCTAATTTTAGAACATTTTGAATGCTCACAAAAGAAGAAAAATATTTTTCAATCATCTATGAAACCACACTCAGCCCATGGGAACGCCTTACCCAGCTCCTACAAAAACGTATCATTTTAAATGAAATTAGCGTCTTAGCATCTTAGTAGATGTAACCTTTTACCTTCTGTTTGTTTCACTAAATACTTTATCTCAACTCTTTCCCTAAGTCAGAAGATACTGACCTGCACATTGATTTTCATGACTATTTAGTATTCCATTGGATAGATTTCCTTAACTAACCCCTTATTATTGGACACTTAGGTTTTTCCCAATTATTTCCAATGTTTCCTACTGTCACTGCAAGGAACATTTGTGGGCACATTTCTGATGATTTCCTAAGGGGGTGAAATCATACCGTAGTGCTGGGGACTCCAGCCAGGCTGTTAGGGGAGACCCTTCGGTTCCAGAAGTCTCGGGGTTGTGTCTGAACTTCCACCTTGTCCAAGTGCCTCAGCCCCTCCCACAACTGACTTGACTGGGCAGCAGAGCCAGAGATTTGAAGCCAGTCTTGAGTGCTGACTGCATGCCCTGCACTGCTGGCTGTGCCCATAGCTTCCCTGTGAGGTGTCCTCAATGGTCCCTTTTGCAGATGAGGACCCAGGGTTTACTGAGAGGAAGCACTGGTCTGGGGATCTCCAGGCAGACACTGCAGGCTCTGCCGCCCTTATTGCAAGGAGGATGCATTAGTGATCATGAAGTAGAAAACTGCCCCTCATCTCGCCCAACTACAGACAGGATTGGGAGGTCCAGGCCTGGCAAGACAGCTACCTGGACTGCGAGCCTGTCAGGTCAGGGCTGGGATGAGATAATGCTCAGCAGGGCACCCACTCAGAGATGACGCTCAATAAATGGTGGCAAGGAGGAGGAGGGGGCAGGGAGGGGCCATAGCCAGGAGGTGAGTTAGAGCCCCCAGCAGGAGGAGACTACAAGTGGCGTCCGCCCACCTGACTGGAGGCTCCTGGGGGCAGGAATGAGTTCTGCTGATCCCTGGACAGCCCAGGCCCGGCCCGGCCCAGTGCGGATGAGCAACGCGTGGAGGCTATGTCCCTGCAGTGTCCTTCCCTGCCGAGGATCTGGGCTTGCTGGGGAGCGGGGGGAGATGTGTTGGTTTCCTGTGGCTGCCACAATTTACACCTGATTTTGTGTCTTAAACAGCACAAACATATTATCTTACAGTCAGGGAGGTCAGAAGTCTGATGTGGGTCTCACTGGGTAAAGTCACGGTGTTGGCAGGGCCAATCCCTTCTGGAGGCTCCAGGGGAAACTGTTTCCTTGCCTTTCCGCCTTCCAGAGGCGCCTGCGTTCCTTGGCTCGTGGTTCCTTCCTCCATCCTCAAAGCCAGCAATATTGCCTCTCTTTCTCTGACCACAGCTTTTAAGGATTCATGTGGTTAGGGCCGGCCTGTGGCTCACTCAAGAGAGTGCCACCAAGGCCATGGGTTCGGATCCCACATAGGGATGGCTGGTTCTCTCACTGGGTGAGCATGTTGCTGACAACACCAAGTCAAGGGTTAAGATCCCCCTACCGGTCATATTTAAAAAAAAAAAAAAAAAGGATTCATGTGCTTAGATTGGGCCCACCTGGATGATTCAGGATACTGTCCCACTCCAGGTCTTTGACTTAATCACACCTGCAAAGTCCCTGTTGCCTTATAAGGTAACATACAGGTTCCAGGGACTAGGATGCGGACATCTTGGGGCCATTATTTTGCCCAACAGAGGTGGTATCGGGACATCTGAGGATCTGACCTTTCCCAGAGGACGGAAGAAATGCCACTTTCCTCCTCCTCCTCCTGCCCTGCTTTGATTCAAGAGTTGTGGGTGTACACACAGTTGCAAATGGAAGGATCTGGGGAAACTGAGGCCACAGAAGCCTTGCCCAGGATCACAGGCCAGGTCCAGCGTGCTCACACAGATGCCCCTTCCCTACAAAGATGCCCCCTTCCCCACCACCCTGTGGGTGGAAGTTTCTTAGCCTGGAGGGACACCAGCTTAAGCACTCTGCCTCCAAGCTCCATGTCTAGGAGAAGGGGGCAGCTAACATTTACAGAGCAACTTCCCCATGCCAGGTGCCACTGCACGTAGGTTCCCTTTCCATCCTCCCCAAACCCCATGGGATGTAAAGATCACTTTCCCCATCTTGAAGATAAGGAAGCTGAGGCTCTCAGAGGGGCAGCGGCTTGTCCACAGAGGAAAGCTTCTTCCTGCAGTGAACTCGTGAAGCTGCGCATCTGGCAGAAAAGCAGGTGTGAGTGGGACTTTCCCCTGAGCAGGAGGGTGGGTGTGCCAATATGTCAACGTGGCCCCAGCACAGCCCTGTGGCACAGTCCTGTGCACTCACTGACAGGCAGCCGAGATGTGCCTGGAATCACACCTCTGACTGTAAAGCTGGAGAAACAGGCTTAGAAAAGTATATTAATTTTCCCACAGACACACAGCGGCCTGGAAGAGCTCTTCTGCTCTGAGCATCACCTACCCCGTCCCCTGCGCCCCTTCCCCCACGGGCATACCTCTCGTTGCAGAATTACCAGATGTTGGATCTGTGAGGGGGTCTGTGAGGGGAACTGGGTCATTTGTTGTGGAGAACATTTAGCTGCCTCTCTGTAAAGAATCTTTCAGTGACATGGATTTTCACCCTAGACGGGGGCCAGTGCAGTGCATAGTATGGTGGTTAAAAACCTGGGTTTGGAGTCAGGCTGTTCGGAGTTCAAATGCCAGTGCCTCCCCATTTGGGGAAATCTTGGGCACGATGCTGACCTCTCTCTGCTTGGATTTCCCCATCTCTAAAATGGGGTTGGTAATAATGTTACTGAGGCCCCAGAGGACCCCTGGGAGGTTCTCACTGGGCAGCTGGTCCCACCCCAGAGCCCTCTCACCCCCGTGCATCCCTGTATACACTCAAAGGCAGATGGGTCCCCCCATGGCCAAGTCAGACCTGGTGGCCCTCAGGACACTCCTGGGCACAAGCACTCAGGCTGTTTTCTAAGCAAATTGCTGAACACTGTCTTGAGACCTCAGCAGGGGCAGGGCTGAACCTTGGTGATGGTTGGACCCTAAGTCCAGGGCTGTGTGGGGTCTATCTCCTGCCTCCAGGAGCATAGTCTTCCCTGGCACTCATGTAGCCAATAGCCCTTGATTCTTTCCAGAAGTGTGGCAGCCTTCCTGTCCCATTCCCAGAACAGCCTGGCTGCTCTCAGGGACAGAAGGGCCAGGGGGCAGCCCTTGAGAGGAGGGGCTTGTATGAGCATGGAGGGGTCTCAGAGCCTCACTCAGGGCAGGGCCACATTACAGCTTGCATGTTGGGGGCGGGGGATATGAAGGTGTGCGTGGCATAGGACGAGTCTGTCCCAGGCAAGAACGTCCAACGGGGGCTTGGAGCATCTCTTCTCCCCAGCATGGGAGCAGCCCATGCTTTGACTGTGCAATGGTGAGCTGCCCTGAAGAGAAAAGTAAGGAGGAGGGCCTTCCCGGGGCAGCCCATGAGGCCAGGTGGCACTTGGCACAGAAAGGCGGGCGAGGGCATGCACCCCAGGCCAGACTCTGCTGGGGGCACGGTCCTCCGAGCTGTCTGCTGCAGCACCCCCAGTCTCCCTCTGGCCTGGCATGGGAGGAGTTAAGCTGCGGCGGGCACCTTGGCATGCCACGCTGCCCGGAATGTCCGGCTCCCCACCCCCACCGCTTTTCTTCCTTTTTGCCTTTTTCCTTCTTAATTAATCATACGCTGCTACCCAATTTAAATATGGAAATGCCCAGGCCAGGCAATGCAATTATTCATGAGGCCGGGCAGGCTGTCCAGAGCTCTCCGGCTGTGGGGAGCATCGTACCGCCGCCTCCTTTCTGTGTGTGAAATTATGTGCACAAAAGGCGCCTCCTTATCTGGGTGTGTGAACTAAATAAATAAATAAGGGCTTTTGTTTGTTTGCAGGCTCCTGCACATGACTGTTTTGACTAAACCGCTGGTGTTGTCTGCGCCTTTATGGGACTCGGGAGACTGGGAGGCAGGGGGAGGCCCCCGCGGGCAGGTCTGGGGCTGGGGGCGGCCGCTGGGCACCTGGGGCCCTCTCCCTCCCCGGGCACCACCCTCACCCCGCGGCCCCCCCAGCCTCGCGGAAAGTTCGCCCTGCCCGGGCTGGGCTCCCAGCAGCCTGGCACCGTGCCAGGCTCGCCGCCGTGCGCGGGCAGTGGGGTGGGGCGAGCGACAGAGGCATGGAGGACGTGGCCAGCGCCCCGGGCACCGGCGGGACCCGAGGCCGAAGGTCGGGGGCTCAGAAGGTGAGGGCACCGTGGGTGGGCGTGGGGTGGGTGCACGGTGGGCAATGCAGCTGGGCCCAGGAGCAGGCCTCGTGGGGGGAGAGCCCGGCTGGAGGAGCAGGCATGCACAAAGGCGGCAGTGCCAGGCGCCGATGGGGGCATCGCGGCCGGCCTGGGCTCTGCGGGGAGGATGCGTGTGCGTGGGGCCCGGCAGGAGCGGGACACTGAGCCGTGGCCGCAGGGCAGGCTGTGCAGCAGCCCGGGAAGGGCCAGAGCAAGGCGGGGCCCAGGGCTGTCAAGGAGAAAAACATCCCAAGGCCTGCAAATTGCTGCTCTCAGCTTTTTTTCCCCTCCTCCTGCTTGGGGGGTGGGGGGGGAAGCAGCGCTTCCTCTGGAGGCGGATGCGAAAAGGATGCAGAATTTTAACCATCTCCTGCACCGACCGGTTCCTTCCTGAGCAGGGTTTGGGCCCAGGACTGGCACGGTGGCACCACAGGAGGGGAATGCGAGAGCACCAAATGCCTTTCTGGGAGGTGCTGGAAAGCCAGGCCTCCTTGGCATCCCCGGGGCAGGGTGTGTGCCTGGGGCCCACACGGGCTGGCACAACACGGGCCTGGGGCTGCGCCAGTCACTGCCCATGTCATCATCATGCCGCTTGCTGGGCTCCCCTTTTGGTGCTGAAGGTGGTGGTGCCTAGGCCCCACTGGAGACCCCGGCATTGTGTTGGAGGGTCTTGGTTCATGCTGACTTGGGGCCTTTGGCCATACTGGGATCCTGGACCTTTCTCGTGACCAATTTTTGTGTTTTAAAAATAATGTGGAATGTTTTCTGGCATCCGATGGGGGCTTTGCACACTGGACATTCAGGGCAGGACTAAGGAATAAATTCTAGAGTGATGAAGGTCGTTTGGTCGCCGGATAAACTCCCAAATGGACAGGAGAAATCTGTGCACCTCCCTGGGTGAGAGGCTGGGCATGGGTGTGGGTGAGGCAACTTCGAGGACCCCAGGGCCCACAAAATGTTTTACTTTCAATTTCTTTTAAAATCAGGAGAAAAAAATGACTACAAAAATAATGAATATATAAAAATGGATTCAGCCTGGATTATATTGGTCTTTAACTGATGCGGTTGTAAAATATAATTTTTAACATTTATGGAGGAAGGGGCCCAGGCAAAGCAGATTTGGCCTGGGTTGGTCCTATCTGTCCCAGGACAAAGGGTAAGATGTCTGGCCCCAGGGGGCCTTTGAGGGTCATCTAGGTGCCCTGTGAATCTGGCTTCTCGGAAGGCTAGCCGGGACAGGTTGACCTGGCCTGCTGTGGAGAGGAGCCAAGGCCACATGTGTGTGTGCACGTGTGTGTGTGCAGGTGTGTGTGTGCAGGCATGCTCATGTGCATACATGTGGGTTTTGTCAAGGATTCCCAGATACCTGAGTGTGTAAGTCTCAGTTCTAGAAACAGGTGAATGCAAGGCCAGGTTCAGGTGACAGTGTGGCCAGGAAGACCTAGTATTCCTGACAGTGGGTGGGGAGCCGTTGTCTTCCTAGGAGAGAGCAGGCCCACGCCCGTGGTCCAGCACGGGGCTGTCCAGGAGGAACAACATGAGCCGCAAATGCAGGCCACACCTGGAACTTAATACGTCCCAGTGGCCACGTTTTTAAAAAGTAAAATAAACAGGTGAGGCTCCCTTTAATAATAAAATTCATCTTATCTAATATATATCTGTAACAGGGTCATTTCAATTTGTAGTTCATGTGAAATTATAAATGAGATATTTCACATTTTTTTCACACTCAATCTTCAAAATCCCGAGCGTGCCGTACACAAGTGTGTTGGTTCGGACTCTCCATATCTCGAGGGCTCCATGTGTGAGGGCTGCGTGTGACGAGGGTGCCACGTTGAACAGTGCAGGTTTAGCAGGTTCCTTTGCCACCCCCACCCCCAGAGTTGGGGAGACTCATTTTCTGCTTCTTTTCTGCTGGTGACCCTTCTTTGCCAGAGAAAAGGACTCTTCCACAGGGGCACCAGGCCCCCAGCAGCCCCGAGGGCAGAGAGAATGGGTGTTGGGGCTGCAGGCTTCCAGACCGAGGGGGACTGCTGGAAAGGGTTCTTCGGCTGTGCTCCCAGATGCAGGGGATGACACAAAGGGCTGGCTTCAGGCTCACAATAGTGGGGCGGTTAGTCACAGTGCCAGGGCAGCGGGCAGGCAGACAGAGCCCCCTGTGTCTGTGCCTGGTTGGGCTGGGCCCTGTAGCCCCCATCTCCCCTGCCCACTTCCCATCCTGTCCCTGCCTGTGGCTTTTGTCTGCACCCTCCCAGCTCCACGCGTTAACCCCCTGCTACCCGCTGCCTACCTGGTCTCCTGGCTGGGGCATCCTTGCCAGGCTCTGGTTCCCATCAGCCGCCCTGGCCAGAGGCACACTCCTTCTGGAAACCGGGCTCAGACCTGCCTGACTTGATTGGCCTCTCTTGGAAAACGAGCATTGAAACGGCTCCGGCACCGTGGCTGGGCAGTGTTTGTGCAGCCTGGGGAGTGGTTTTCATATTAAAGAACCAAGGGTGCTGGGCTCCCTGCTCAATATTTCATCAGCATTGGAAAGTATTCACCGTTCAAGGACTGTGCATTTCTAGAAACAATGAAAAGCCAAAACTGTGAAAAATTAAGGAGTGGCCCTGAAGCTGGTGTCTGTAACTGCATGCTTTAAACG